ATTAGGAAGTACAGATGTGGTACTGGGAGTGCAATGGTTGGAAAGTCTGGGCAGCATGGATGTTAACTGGAAGCTCCTCACCACGAATTTTCGTATGGGCGAGACTTTGGTAACATTGAAGGGAGAACCGTGGCTTAACGAATCTGGTATTTCATTAAGGGCAATGATGAAAGCTTTACAAAATGAGGGCTAGGGAGTTTGGGTAAAGTTAGATAGACCCTCTCATAAGTCGGTTGAAGTGACGAATGGGGTGAAGTTAGCTAAGGGAGTACTGGAGGTGCTACAGAAACATTAGCACGTGTTTAAAGAGCCACAGGGGCTACCTCCCAATCGAGACTCAGACCACTCAATTCCGCTAAAGGAGGGAACTGTACCAGTCAGCGTCAGGCCTTTTCGATACCCCCACCTTTAGAAAATGAAATTGAAAGACTAGTCCGGGAGATGTTAGCTGCAAGGATTATTCAGCCAAGTGTCAACTCATTCTCAAGTCCGGTGTTGCTTGTCAAGAAAAAAGATGGCAGTTGGTGTTTCTGTCTAGATTACTAGGCATTAAACAAAGCAACAATTCCTGATAAGTTTCCAATTCCCGTGATCGATAAGCTTCTGGGCGAACTTCATGGGGAAACCATGATCTCGAAATTAGACCTTAAATCAAGGTACCATCAAATAAGGGTGCGAAAGGAAGATGTTCACAAGACCGCGTTCCGAATGCATGAGGGCCACTATGAGTTCCTTATCATGCCTTTTGGTCTCTCAAATGCGCCGGCAACTTTTCAATCGCTAATGAATCTGGTCTTCAGGGAATACCTTAGAAAATTTGTTCTGGTTTTCTTCGACGACATTCTGGTATAGAGCAAGGACCTCCTAACTCATGAACAGCACTTAGAAAAAGTCCTTACTTCTCTAGCTACACATCAGTTATATGCAAATGCCAAGAAGTGTATCTTTGCTCAAAAACAAATAGAGTATCTTGACCACCTGGTGTCTGAACAAGGAGTGGCAGTTGACCCAAAGAAGATAGAAGCAATGGTACAGTGGCCGACCCCCCGTAACATTAGAGAATTAATGGGATTTTTGGGTTTGATGGGGCACTACTGGCATTTTGTGACAGGCTACGGTGCAATCTCCTGGTCACTGACACAACAACTAAAGAAAGATGCGTTTGGGTGGAATGAAGAAGCAGAAACAATATTTGAAAAGCCGAAAGCTGCCATGGCAACCGTACCAGTATTAGCCCTACTAGACTTCTCAAAGCCCTTCATCATCGAAGCCGATGCATCAGGTCATGGGGTAGGAGTAGTCCTTATGCAGGAACAACAGCCCATTACATATTTCAGCCAGGTGTTGTCTACTAAATCACAACACAAATCCATCTATGAAAGGGAATTGATGGCAATTGTGTTGGCACTCCAGAAATGGCATCATTATATTTTGGGATGGAAATTCATAGTTCGCAACGATCAGCACAACTTAAGGTTCCTCCTCGAGCAAAGAGTGATTCCAAAGGAATTTCAGAAGTGGGGCGGCCAAATTACTGGGATACGAGTTCGAGATACAGTACAGGCCAGGGAAGGAAAATAGAGCTGCTGATGCTCCGTCTCGCATTCCCAGCCCAATCGAACTGGCTGCCCTTACATTTCCTCAAGTGTTGGACGTTCGATTAATTCACAATCAGGTCAATAACGACCCACAACTCTCAAAGATAATAAAGAAGCAGTAGGAAGACCCAAACCTCCATCCCAATTATTCACTCAAGCAAGGTAGGCTATTGTTCAAGGGACGCCTTGTCATCCCTAACTCTTCTACACTGATCCCCATTGTTCTTAAAGGGTTTCACTGCAGTACCTTGGGAGGTCACTCTGGGTTCCTTCGAACCTATAAAAGGTTGGCTAGCTACTTGTACTGGAAAGGGATGAAGAAAGATATCAAAAAATTTGTTGACGAATGTATAGTTTGCCAACAAAACAAGTCACTTGCCCTCTCTCCAGCTGGACTACTACAACCCCTACCAATTCCCTGCCAGATTTGGGAAGATATCTTAATGTATTTTGTTGAAGGCCTTCCGACATCTGGTGGTTACAATACATTACTGGTTGTAATAGACCGATTCAACAAGTATGCACATTTTCTGCCTCTAAAACATCCCTATAAAACTTCAGGGGTGGCGGCCATTTTTGTTAAAGAAATCGTG